AAAATTATTATTTCCATTTTTGGAAGTCTTCTCTTACCCCTACCTTCAGAGGGCGTCAACGATCCTCCCACTTCTTTGCAGTAACATCTTATACCTATCCTCTCTAAGGGGTAGTAGCAGGCCTCCTCCCCTGCATCACATGATCACCTCCGCCTGGCTCTCGTTAACATTCATCCAATGGTCGATCAACAGTTTGGGCGTGACCAGACTAGCCTTGTTTCTTAAAAAAAAAATATCTTGCTCAGAAAAAAAAGGATTATCTCCTGGTTTTTCTTTTTTTTTCTATTTCCTTTCCTTCTTTTCTTTTCTGTTCTCTCTTCTTCTCTGGCCACCAACAGAACAATGCGACCAGTAGTGTGATAACCTCAATTCTCATCTGGACTTCGTCAGTCAGATTTTCGCCAATTATCAGAGTTGGTGGTCGTCCAGCAATTACGGCCAACTTTTCCGATAATATTGTTTCGCTCTTATCGCCATATCCTAACAAAACCCAGACCTTGTCTAACGATATCTTTCCCTCGACAAAGACTTTACCTATTTTCCTTTGTTTTCTTTAGCTCGTGGGTGGTCAGGCTATCCCGTGACACAGTTAAATGTTTATCTATTCTGTCCCGGAGTTTAGCTAGCCGATGCGGAATTTGTCAGTTAGATTTTCGCCAGCACCAAGTGGCTGTTATCTATTCCCGATAACATAAGCCCACCACCACGACACAGTCAGTTTTTATCTATTTAGAATTTTCTGCAATGGCAATAAAACCTTTCACCATTTGTCACTATCAAAATTTCATTTCTTTTCCTTCTTTTCTTCCTTTTCCTTGTTTCCCAAGTGGTGTCATATATATATATATATATATATATATATAAAGTAAAACTAAAAAAAAATGTTTTTACATTAACACACTTAATATGCGGCCTCCTATGGAGAAAGGTTTATCTCATGCTGGTGAATTTTCTTTTACTACAACAGCCTATAGATCTGGAGTCATTTCACTGTGTCCTGCAAAAGCAAATGGTGTTATCTGCTAAAATCTGTTTTATGATAATACTGTATTGTTCATTTTTCATAGTTTATCTATTTGTATACTAATTGCACAAAGTTTTGACATCTATCTATCTATCTATCTATCTATCTATCTATCTATATAAGGCTCTTCGACTCTCGTACACGTCCGTCGGTATTTATGACGGACACCAGTCAATCATATTCCAATGAGGGCGAACACAGGTGTATGCATATTCCATAATATCAATTGATGCCGAGACTAATGTGGCCGATAACTATATATGAGGTAGCTCTGTCTGGAGTTGAGATAATTCAGAGGAAAATCAGTAAATGCCTACGGAAGTGGCTTGGTGTTCCAAGGATTCTGTCGCCAGTCGCTTTGTATGGCAGCTTCAGTTACCTATTATTTCTTTTGGTGGAGGAGTACAAGTTGGCAAAGGTGAGATTGCAGTCCATGCTGTGTAAATCTAGAGATGCTGTAATCCGGGAAAATGTGCCGGAAGTGAAGACAGCAAGAAAAGTGGAAACTGTTAGACACAATGTCAGCAGTGTAAGTTATTATATATTTTATTTTTCTTTATGCACTCTGGAAAATGTCCCTCTATCTGACACTGAAATAACAAAGAAATTTTAAGTTCGCTTACTTTTATGACGCTAATCATAAATTAATTTTTAAATTTTACAAAGTGTAGCAGTCCTTCACGTAAAAGTTAAAATTAAAATAAAACTAAATAATCTATCGAGGACTCTTTGTTCTTGAAACACTCTCATCAGATGTTTTTCTTCTTTAAAGTCTTTTTTCACATTCCATCACACTGTTAAGTGATTACCCAAACAGAAGACTCATTAACTCTTGCAGAAAATTCTCTGTAACTATTTCCTACCCTTTCTTTGTATTTTCATGTTATCGTTGTTGTTATTTTGCCTTCCTGTCACAATTTTTTTTTCTAATTCACTCGAGATAAATGTGATGCTTCGTTAGCGACGGCAAAATCGATTCGATTTGTCCATGTTCGTCTCAGTTGTATGTTCGAGAAATGCGCATGCGCTGTGCGATCTGTTGCTTGGCCGTTCGTTTGTTCTTCGAAAAATGTGCGTTTGCCTTTTTCAGGCTTTTTTAAATGCGGGTGTTGATGGAATCCACTGACTGGTTGCATGCGCTGAATTCTTATGGCATCTCACCGATTCTTTGATAACGAATTCTTTATATTCATTCACTTGTTTAACTCTTGTTGTGTTATGTGTATTCGCTTAATTGATTTTCTTCTTCATGCATGTTGAAAACATAGAAATTAGTTAAGCTTTTTGATGGCGATTTATTGAGCTTAAAAGAACTTCTGCATACAGCAAATAGAGATTTTGTTAATTCGTTTTACTCATTGTAGATTTGTTTCTTTTTACGATATATCATGCATTATTGCTCTTTTATGTTGAAATCAGATGCTAATTTATGAAATGCTTCAAAGAAATGATACTTTTTAACTGTTTTATATTCAGTACAGTTATAGCTTTCAAGATTACGGACTGGTATGCGTCGTAGTCGCAGGTAAGAAGTGTAGATACATGGCGCAGTCCAATGGGCGTCGTTATAGACTTAGCACTCAGACTAAGGCTCTTGACTCTCCTACACGTCCGTCGGTATTTATGACGGACATCAGTCAATCATATTCCAGTGAGGGCGAACACAGGTGTATGCATATTCCATTATATCAATTGATGCCAAGAGTAATATGGCCGCTAACTATATATGGCGTAGCACTGTCTCAAGTTGAGATAATTGAGAGGAAAATGGGTTGATCAAAAGTTTAATCTGTCGTCTTGTAGTTTATGCTTAGTCCTTTCTTCTAACTCTACGTTGCTACATTCTGTATGATATTTTGTAATTTAATTCACGTAATAATTACCTATAATCAATAAGCGCATCACTATTTTTTAGCGTTTCCTATCGTAGGCTTCTATTTATCTCGCGAGATAAAGGTAGCCCTTTATTTGGTCAAGATTCAGCTCTCTGGTGGTGAGGCTGGAGTGGCTTCTCTAGGGCACATACCTGGGAAATGGCACTCGGAAGATAATCCTTTTCTGAAATTGTGGTAATCGTTGACCCGCATCTGTCTTCAGTATCAAATGCGTACCGGGTATATCTGATTGAAGGAAAAACCCCGATACTGGAGCGCACAGTGGTGGTCAACAGATCCTTAATAATCGTAAGCCAAAATTTTCTCCGAGAAAAGACAAACTACGCTGACTCATCTCAAATCCCCATTCAATGCAGGTGGCACCTAAAGCATATCTATCGCGTCAATTCTGACTTCTTTTCGTGTCATAACACATGGGGGTAGATAAGCATCTAGAGTACCCATTTTTATATCACACCAGGTGATAGAGCGTCTGAACTGAATCTATGTCCATTGGCTTCGTGTTACATGTACTGATGGTCATGATTTCCGCTTTTTCAAACTGTTAGATGTTTTTCAAAGTGTTTCAGTCATTACAGTTACTGTCGTAGATGGGATTATATATTTCCTACTAGTTATCTGTACTTTTCTTTGTTTCTTCAATAATTTTTCTAAGTATTGCCCCTTAAGGGATCTTTCACGGAAGTCTTCGGAATTTCCGTATCACTATTCTCATTGTCTTTTATTACACAACTCATTTAAATATACATGCATTATTTTGGGGTCCCCGTTACGTAGCTTATCCTTGCCTTACATCTTCTACTGAAAACCATGCATTTTGTCTTTTTACAGAAAATAGTTATTGCTTTCTCGTTGTTGTTCTTGTCTGAGTTGTTTAATGGTCATTTTAGTTTTCTTTTTGAGTGCGTAACTTATATTATTTGCAATATTCGGACTGTTATCCCCATCTTCATTGCCATATTCACAACGTTTCAGCCGTTGTTGGCTCCGACCTTCTTCGGGTGACTGGAATTTAGAACAGAACACTTTATGTCATCCACCGGGCGTAGATTTTTCTAGATCCACGTGCCATCTTCTTCCGGATGACTGAATTATTTCCCCTTAATTCAAGTGTCCAAAATTTTGGGGTTCAATATTGCTGTCGGCTGGCATTGAACACAATGCTCTTTGGTTTTCGTCGCTGGATCTAACCAAGGTCTTTACCTACTGGGTCATGTGTTCAATCACCTGAAGCAGAGCATAAAACGGCGGAAACGTTGTGAATATGCCAATGAAGATGAGGATAACAGTCTGAATATTGTAAATAATATAAAATAATCATAATACCTCATCTCAGAGATATAGACAGCTATTGCATAACTTATTTTGCTAATATTATATCCTGAATACTAAAAATGGCAGGTCTTCTATTTCTCTTGCGATCAGATAGATAGATAGATAGATGGAATAAGGTGATACAGTTTGATATGAATTAAGGCAGTGAGAAAGATTATAGATATTTATACCTATTTAAGCTGTAAAGAAAATTGAGCTATAGAAAGAGTATGCTGCAAAAATCATCCAAGTTTGAAGAACATCTCCTATCCAAAATACTGACATTAACCTTTGGAACAATGAGAACAAAGATAATCTCATTACGCACCCAAGACCACAGCGATTACAGCAAGGAAGCAGTTCAATTCCAGATTTTCGATATGAGAAATAACATAAGACGGCTTGAATTTTATTAAGCGAAGACATTTCTGCTTCAAATACTTCTCTTTAAAACATGGTGATCGCTCAAGTTTTCACTTGTTTCCGATTTTCAGCGCTTTTTGTCAGGTGCATGCATGTAGATATTTCCATTCGTTGCAGCATAGGAATTCACAAAGAAATGGCCCCAATGATCGGACGTCATTGTGCAGGAGATTCGCTGAGGCCCTCGGGTGCTTGGATGCCCGGAAATGTGCGTGACAAGAATAAGAAGATTAGTGCGTGACAGCGTTCCAGTTGCATTCATATTTGAGATCAGCTCTTTCTGACACAAAAATACATCGAAAGGTGTGCATATCTCTGCCAAATTATGGAATTTGTAAGCACAG